GGGGCAGCGCAGGCAGGGCTGGGACTATGCTCGGCTGCCTCTGCCCTGGCCCCTGGGGCCGCCTGGACGAGCCACGGAGTCGCCTCTGGTGCTAAGCAATCTGTGATTAATTTGCGAGGAAGCGAATAGTATTAAAAGAAGAGAAAAGCCCAGAATAAATGATTCCCGGCGGATATGTCATTCAGGTTTCCGTTCACCCTACTGTGGCTGGCTCATCTCGTTTATTTGCATTCGTTACAGTTTGGTAATGACTAGGAGCCGCCGTACGAAGCCATCGCTATAGGGGTCCAGAGGAGGATCGCAGCAGAGGAGGAGGGGAGTGTGGTACCCCCAGCAACCACTCTCCCCAGGGCAAGTGCGAGGCTCGGGTCTGTGCCGGCTTGTCCTCGACAGAAAGCCAGGGCAGGATCTCAAGAGCTACCCACGGAGTTCGCTGTAGGGAGGCAGCGGGAGTGAGGGCTGGCTGTGTGACGCCAAGACCAGGGCGCCTTGTCCAGTGCAGGGGAGAGCACAGCAGGCTGTGCGCAGCGGGCACTTAGCTGCAGGGTAGAGTGCAGGAGCCCCCGTCCCCACTCATCGGCTCTCCCAGCACTGGGAGCTGGGAGAAGTCTCCTCCTATTACCATTGCCATTAATGTTTATGGGGCCGTGGTGCTGGGAGGCAGAAGGCAGGATCTGGAGCCCTGGGCCGTGGAGTAAATGCATGACGTGTGACAGCTCCTCTTCCAGAGACTGTCCGAGATAAGTGGACCTGACACCGTCAGGAGGGGGGGACCCAGCCGCATCCTCTCTGCCTTCGGGGGAAACTGAGGCACTCGCACGGCATGCCTGCACCTATGCCTGCATCCGCTGAGGGGGCCGGGGATGGTAGGAGTGGCTGCGGACCCGGTTCTGCAGGCGGGCCTGAGCATAGGCTTTGAAGATAATGAGCGACAAGCCGGACCCGGTTCTGCAGGCGGCCATGAGCATAGGCTTTGAAGATAATGAGCTACAAGCCTTGGCTGCATGTGCTGTGGTCAGCAGGGCACCGGGGCCAAGCTAACGAGGCCCTTGGAGAGGCCAGCGAAGCAAATGCGGCAACACGGCTCCGTGACAGCAGGGCTGCCGGCGGACAGTGCGTCCGTAGCCCTCCTACCTGCCTTGCAGCTCTGCAGGCAGCCAGGGCTGCGAGGAGTGAAGCGGTGCTGAAAATAAGCTCTGAGAAAATGAAGGCAGCAAGCATCCCATTGGGAAGGCGAAGGCGACGCTGATTTGTTGCTGGCCGGGTCGGGGAGAAGGAGCAGGAGCTGCAAAAGCAGAGCCTGGCCATGCCTGAGGGACCCCAGGCACTGTGCCGCATCCCAGCCAGGGGATTTTTGGGAGTGACAAGAACAGGCTTCTCCTCCATGTTCCTCAATTGGAGCATGAGGTGTGTTTTTCTGTGAACAGCAAAGGTGCCAGCCAGCAGGCAGCTGCCAGTGCTGGGCTCCCGGAGGCAGGCATCCACTGCACCCACTGCCGGGCTGCCCTGCGGCTGCTCTCCCTGGGGGCAGCCAGGCCGGGGGGGCAAGGAGCGCACTCTGACCCCGGGTGTGGGCAGTGGCTGCCAGCCTGGAGGAATCCCCCGCTCTGCTATCTCTGAGCCCGCGTCAAACTGTTCCCCTGGGGCCAGAATCTCACCCGCCGCAAATCTGCCTGGATCCAGAGCCTGGAGGAGGGCTGTGCCAACCCACACTGCCTGGATCCCGGCCCCTCTCTGCTGCTCAGCCCCCGCATTGCCACGTCTATATAATTAATCCCACCTGATAAACCCTGTGGTGCATTCGCAGACAACACCGTTCTGAAGGGCTGATTCAATCCCTTGAAAACAGGTTTGTTTTTTTTCCCAGAGAAAATGTTGAGAGGTGCTTAAGCTCGATTTTGGGATGAACAGTTGCCTGTAGGATCGATTTTGTGCTGTTTGTGTTGGGGGCCTGAGTGGGAGGGAGGGCAGTGGGCGAAGAATCGCGCTTTACTCTTTCTGTAGGGCCACAAAGCCCCCCTGGGCTCCCCTCCTGGCAGCCCCACTCGGGGGGCCGGGATGCTGCTGCCCACCCTGCTCCTAGGTCTGTCCTGCAGAGTCAGCTCCCAGCTTCGTCTTTGCCCTGGAGCCGGGAGAACCTGCAGCACCAGGAGGGGCAGAAGCTTCAGGTGGGCGCAGGTTTGTGGTGGGCTTTAGGCAACCTGCTTCAGCCCCCCTCCAGGGGGCTCAGGGGTCAGGGAGCTCCGCGGGGGGGGGGAGAGCAGCTGTGAGGCAGCCCCCATTTTGGGGGGCATCATGCGCTGTGCATCTCGCAGCCCCAGCCCCAGTGAGGGGCTGGCACCTGGGCCAGCCTCTGGCCAAAGGCAGGATAACGACTCTGCAATTAATCAGGGGCAGAGGTAGGTGCTCTAGGAGACTCTGCTTATTCTAAATAGAGCATCACACAGCAGGCACCTCTGTCACCATCTCCTGATCACCTCCTGCCTTCCTTCCCCTCTCCCAAGGCTCCCAGCTGGCTCTGGACATTCCTCTCTCTTTTGCCCTAGGAGCGGGATTTTTTTGCAGAAGCAAAGATGTGAAACAGAGATGCTGAGTGCGGAGGGCTCTGCCAGCCAGCAATCTGCACCGATTGCTTAAATGCTTAATGAGCCCTGGGGAGCAACACACTCCTTGTGAAAGATTCAAGGCCTCTGTGCCTTCACTTTGGGGCTATGCAGCTCCCCTTTCCAGTTTTTAATCCTCGGACCAGCGAAAGCAAGGGGAAAGCAGACACAGTCTGGTCGCTGTTTCTAAGAGAAGCAGCAAAGCAAATGGGAAAACCCAGCATGCCCACAGGCAGGGAGAGGACAGCCCCTCCGCCCCAGAGTGGCTTGGTGGCAGGGTCCCTCAAAGCAAATATTTTGAGTCGTCTAATCGGGTGTGAAATTAATGCCAGGGAAAATACATTCTCCAGGGTGGCTGTGCATTGCTGCCAGCCTGTGGCTCTCCCTGGCCGCCCAGCACGCACCCAGCTTGGGCACTTCGTTCTCATTTAATGGCACATTGGTCTGGTTCTCTGGTGGTGTACTGGTCCCTGTCTTTCCCCAGAGAAGCTGTATAATGGGCTGCAGGTGCTCTCCTTTCCCAGCAGGACCAAAAATAATCTCAGGGCACTAAATGCACAGCTAAGGGACAAATTACTGTGGTGGTGCTTTGGTGGGGAGACTGGGGCCCCGCTGGCACCAGAGCACAAGTAACGAGCCCGAAGCCTGACCATTTCTCAGCAGGGCACCAGATGTGGGCGTAGCCACCAGCGGGACAGGGCAGGATGTCCCCTCCAGTGGCCCAGGAAGGTCATGGGGTGCTGGGGGTATTTGGGGCTGCTCGCAGGGGAAGGTGACACCGTGGCATGGGAGGAGGGCACAGGACAGCAGCAGTGCTGGGGAGCCCAGTGGGTGCTTGACGCTTGTGCGGCGGTGCCAGCAGGGCTCAGTGCCTCACCGAGCCGGGCAGGGTGACCCTGAGGAGATTGCAAGGTGAACCAAGATGTTGGTCCCAACTCCAGCTAATGTCGCTCTATGATTTTGTGGCACTTTTCCAGGCTAAAAATACCCCTGCTGTCGGTGTGGCGGGGGCGGGCGCTGCGTGCAGTGGCTGCGGAGGGACGCTCTCTGCTGCGGGACTGGCCAAGGGCAGCCGGCCAGTGGGGCTGGGGTGGCCCTGCAGTAGCCATATGGGGCTGGCCCTTCTGCTCCCCAGGCAGCCGGGCACAGAGGTCACCTCTTCTGTCCTCCCGCCCCGAGGTGACCTGGCACCTCTCTCCAGGGCTGTGCCAGATGCAACCGCTCAGCCAGCAGTCCACAAAAATACCGTGCACGGGGAAAGCGTCCGCAGTGACCTCTCTGAACTGTGTTCCAGCCCAGCACTGGGTCCTTTGCTGATCCTGGAGGGTCACACTGGCTCATCTGGGTGCTCCTTGGGAGCTGCAGTTAGGACACACCAAATCCTCTGGGTGCTCCTTGGGGTGTATCTGGCCCATTTGGGGACCAGCCTGGGGGTCAGATGCTGCAGCAGGGCTCATTTCCTCAGTGAGGGTCAGCGAGGTCTGAGGAGCTCAGCCCATCCCTGTGGCCGTGGGGCTGCTGCATGTGCTAAGGAAATGTGCCCCAAGCCCGTCCGTACAGCTGGGAGGGGGGACCTTGGACCAAGGGACCTCACCTGTCCCTATGTGTCTGAGCTGCTGGGGACCGGAGTTTGGGACACATGAGCAGGTGGCCGGAGAAGACGGGGTTGGAAAGCCTCTCCCAGGCTTGGAGGCAGTCTCAGCACAGCAGGATCCAGCTGGGCCTGCCCCATCCACCTTCACAACCCTCCTCACCATGGGGTGCAGCTCAGCCCTAAACCACCCTGCTGTCGCAAACTGATTGCTCACAACCAGGCAATGAGAAATGGAGGATCTGGCCCTGGGCCCATGTCTGCATCCATGACAGGACTCTTCAGGGTGATCCACAGGGATCTGGTCCCCTGTGCCATCGTGCAGCCTTGGGGTATGTCATGCCATCCTGGGGACTGCTGTGATGGAGGCTATGCAGGAAAAGCGCGGCTGCCGTCGGGGCCAGATGCTGTGCCAGACAGGAGCTGGCTGGGCGGCCGAGAGAGGGCTGGGGCATGTTGCAGCACGTTGCAGCGGCCACGCGCCCGGTGACCGTGCAGCTCAGCACGGCATTGAGGAGCTCTTCTGCTCTTCTGCTCTCTGGCGAGTTTCACAAAGGCTGCCCGAGCCCCCTCCAGCATCCCCGAGCCCTTGGGCATCCTCCGTGCAGGTTGGGGGGTGTTTTGGATGTTGCTCTCCTGAAAGCTACCAGAAAAAGACAGTCCAATGCTTATTCTTCAAAACCAACCCCTCATCTAACAGGCGCTTATCCACACGTCTAACATATTTCTCATATTTTACGCCAGGTTCTCAAGGAAATATTTTGTGTAGATCCCCCCCATCACAAGTGAGCAGGGGACTCCCACCATGGCCTGAAGATGTGGCCTAGATGGTCCTAACTTGCCTCTTCCCATCTGTGGGCTTCAGACCTTGTGCCTGCTGGCACCGGTGGTGCTCTGCTTTGGGTACACTAAATGGACTCTGTTTGCGGCTAGAGCAAGCGCAGAGGGAATTGCAGGCAGAGGGAAGGCTGGAGCAACGGCACAGCCTGATCCAGTGACCTTGGCAAGCCGGGCACGCACAAGAGGGAGATTTAATTTAGATCAGGGTCAAGCAAGACTCTTGGTGCCAACAGCAAAGGCTGACACAGATGCCAAAACCCTCAGTGGGCACCTCGCTCCCCCAGGGTGATCTGGCCCTTTCGCATCTTTCTGTCCTTTCTTTTTCCCATGGGTCACCCCTTTGATACCTGCCTTGTCCCCAAATCGCTGGTTCCCTCCCGAGACTGGGGGTATGGGAGGGGAATTACGGAAGGAAGCTTGGACTGGAGCAGAGCTCCCTCTTGGCTGAGGATGCTCCCATCTCTGCTCCCAGAAATGGCCCTGCTTGGTGAGGACAGCAGTCGGGTGGGGCTGGGAACTGCTGATGGGCTGCGAGGAGCGGTGCTGGGGGTGACAGCGCTGGCCTGAGCCCTGCTCTGGTTGTCTCCAGCATTTCTAATTACTCTGTGGAAAATCTGCTGGATTTTGACAACTGCAAGAGCCCTCAGCCCCTAACCTCTCCCTCTCCTAGGCTCCCCCCATCCCTCACATCTCTTTGCCCTACCTGAGCCTGGGAACTGAGGAGCTGCCGTGCAAAATCGATGCCTTGGCCAGTGCCGGCCTACGGGATGTCGTACCAGGGAAGGCAGGTGGGGGACATGAGACAGGGTCAGCCTGGCCGCCCAGTCTCCTCCCAGCTTTGGGGTACCCGGCTGTGTGCATCCTTGGCCATGGTTGCCATGGCGATGCGCACCCCTTGCTGCGGCGGGAGCGCTGCGGGGTGTGATGAGCTCTGTTTGCTGTTCTCGTCTCCGCGGCTCTCCTGCCCTCGGCCCCAGCAGTCTCCCAGCACGAAAGTGGAAGATCACCGGGAGCACTAATCATGCGGTAGCGTTGCGTCGGACTAACCGCAGGCCGCCCGCCTCGGCCTAATTGGAAGCGATTTTTTATTTTTCCAGTAGAGATTCCCGGGAGGGACAAGTTTGGAAAACGAAGCGTTACACATCTGTGGCATCAGGCAGCAGGCGGCGGGGGGAGAAGGAACGAGCCAGCCCCGCC